GCTTGTCGTAAGAGGCGACTAACGGGATTTGGTTGTCAGGCTCGTTGATGCATGTCATCGTATCCCAATCGCTTGGATCGATGCTCAAGCTGTCAATCACTGGATTGTCTGGTCTAGACTCGATTATTTACAGACCGCCGTCATATAGATGGAATATTGCAGAGAGCGGCGTTAAACAGCAAACAAAACATTAACATCTCACTTATATTCAACGCGTCGGCTTTTCTGCTGATACTGTTATGGACAAGTGAACCAAGTTCATATGACCACCCATTGTCTCTCAGTCTGCTGGGTTTCCCAGTCCGACCCTCCACCTGTCCGAAAAATGACCCTGGCATCTCAATTCGAGAATGACTAAGTTAATATTAAACTGAGCATGCTAGTCTGGCCCTGCCTGAAACTATCACTCTACCGACTCATAGCCTGTGTCACAGTCCCTGAACCATATCATTTTCTCTTCCACCCAACCCTAACTATCATGCTATAGTCCTTGATTAGGCAAGTCTAGATTTTCCAAAGTTCTGAAACTACCATCTGGGGCTCCTTTTCAATTTAAATGTAGCTGCTTGTTTCTATCAAAAAGATATGTTTTAGTCTAATAGAGTCTGTATTTTCGCTGTTTTCAAATGCTCCGTAGCTCCCCCAGCTAAACCATGTCACTAAAGAGACCCTGTGATCCGGTATGTGATATTTGTCTAACCTATTGTATATTCGGTGTCGACCCTTGATACTAACATTTAGCTTTAACTTCAACCCGCCACACATCGGGAAAACTGCTGTGACCCAGTGGCAAAATAATTAAGAATTCGTTCGAATGATGTCTTCTGCTACTGTCACCGCCTTCTAATGGCAGAAAGAACAATATTTGTAATCAATTATATTCGTTAGTCATGACTAACCGAATGTCGAACCCTGTTATGGAACCTGAAGGACACGTGAAACACGCACGCAAATGCACGCACATGCGCAAATGGAAACGCACGCGAACGTACAAAGTGATAAACGCGAGTCCTGCATCACTTCGGACTTTCCTCCCACATTAAGCTGACACGCCGTGATATAACTGGAATAATGTTCAAAGCGGCGTTACCCAACTCACTCACTCACCCAAAAAGCTTCTCCTAGTACGGACATCCTAGTATACCGGAATCTGTGCACAATAATGAGAACAACCTGCTCTCCTGACGTCACTCTCTGTCTCATATGAAAGGTTCTCTACAGAGAAGATATTGATACTATCTTATAAATGAACAAACTAATTCATCATTTGGGTAAATAAGTATAAGATATTAGATCAAAGCAAAAATGTGATTTTCGTATACAGTTTTTTAAAGACAAGATTACTTGTTTTCAAAGACTAGATGTTATTGGTATGTTTACCGGACTCTTCTTTTAAATTTTTATGACCAGGGAAATGTTTTTGTCGCGGTTATTTATGTTAATGTCTTTGATTACAAGCACCATCCTACGAAGGTGAAGTATTTCCCAAATGTATTCATGCTAGGTAATAAACGCGTAATCCGCGGTTCATATGACCAACGTTTGAAACAAACCGCCCTGTGATATCTTCAGGAGTTCCTTGTGATGGACTATAAACTATACACTCTTGTAAGGTATCTCCTGTAAGCTGTCTCTATGTAGCATCTTCCATCTGGCAAAACGGGAACATATCTTCCAGGACAAGAAATACGTACATTATGTCAGCATGGTCACATATCAAAACATAGATTACCCCACACACTTTGTGCAAACATCCTTGACGATATTATGATAGTGAATTTAATGTTGGTAACCGAGCGTCCATATGTTAGGGTAACAATGAAAGACATTGCCAGACGTCGGGTAGTTCTCCGTACGCCTGTGCCGTAAAAGGCGACTATGCTTGTCGTAAAAGGCGACTAACGGGATCGGGTGGTCAGACTTGATGACTTGGTTGATGCATGTCATCGATCCCAATTGCGTGGATTGATGTTCATGGCGTAAATCACTGGATTGTCTGGTCCAGACTCGATTATTTACAGCCCGCGTCATACAGCTGGAATATTGCTGAGTGCGGCGTTAAACAACAAACCAACCAACCAACCAACGAACTCTGTAGGCCTGTATGTAAGGTTGGTGAAGTATCGTTTGGGCTACTGGGTAGTTATATCTAAGTGGCCGCTAGCCCTGATGTGAGTATTAAATAAAACGCCAGGGGTCGATTACAAAAAAACAAAACAAACCCTACCTTCATCAAGACTAGGTAGCAATGTAAACCCGACATTGTCAGGTAAATTATGAAATTATGATATCAAGTTATTCTCAAGAATAATTCATTATTGTTCTGTAACTAATATTACATGTCAGTTTTACATTAGACATACGTTAGCCTATTAAATGCATTAAAATGTGATTTTATTTCCAAAACGAGTCCTGGTTATATCAGAGATAGATATGAGGTGAGGTGAAATTGGGTTTAAAGTCGCGTCCAAGATTATTGCACTTATATAGCGACGTGCATGCACGTGTGTGTGGCTGCTTGTACCAGTCCGGGCTGCTGCCGATTTATAGGGCTAGCCCACGGAGATACCATGCCGTAGTTTAACATGAATACCCCACTCAGACACAGTATACTGACTCCGAGCCGACCAGTCCTTGTTTTAGCCCCTTTATGCCGAGCGCCAGACAGGGTAACAACAAGTACCATCTTTTGGCGTCTTTTGGTATGACGCGGCCGGGGGTCGAACTCCCGTCCTGCTCTCCGGGCGGTCGAGAGACCACGGAGGCAGATATGAAGAACTGGCTTCTGAATGAACATTAACAAATACTACCTCAGTAATAACTAGCGTAATATATACTTCTCATTAAGGAAATGTCAAGTTAAGAAGGGCGGTACAGACGGGCGGAAATAAAGTGACTGGGGGTCGGGGATGGGGTGTCTGATCGGAGAGACGCTGGTTATCGTAAGCTGATCTTTATTAATTATATCTAACTGATAAGAAAAAGGAAATTAGTCAACATTATATATCATCATGTCATTCCTTGTCCAGAGTCCGGATGTGTATGTCTTATATAATCAAATATACGATGGATGTTTAAAGCAGTACCCATGTCAAAAATATTCCGTTTGCTTTAACCGTTTCAAAACCTACAGAGATTTGATCTTTAAACAAGTGTGTGAGTATGGTTTTACGCCGCTTTTAGTAATATTCCAGCAACATCACAGCGGGGGACACCAGAAAAATGGGCTTCACACATTGTAGCCATGTCGGGAATCGAACCCGGGTCTTCGGCGTGACGAGCGAACGCTTTAACCACTGGGCTACCCGACCGCCCCCTCTTTGAACAAGGCTTTCAAATGTTATGATCTGATACGTTTTGAGGACATTGATGCTAAACGTACAGTTTCAGACGTTGAGGTAAAAGTCTAGGAGCCAAATGGTTCGTGTGTCAGCTCGTCACTGATAGGAATGGGTTCGATTCCTTACAGCTGAGCCACCTATGGCCACTTTACTATCATTCGTTGCATGATGAGGCCTGGTGAAATCATGTCACTTCTAGTTAATTCTTCTTCTTGGCTGAAAATGAAAATATCGACATCAGTGTCAACCTTTCAATGGTCAGAGATAACTCTCCCACGGGCACCAGTGACCACGCTTCTTCGTCTATGACATGCTCATTGGTATTCTGTCCACGCTGTCGTCGTTTACCGCCAACACGTTAACACAGCGCCTAATGTGGACCGGATATAGGAGGTTATTAAAGGCAATAGACAACAACATTGGCCAGCCTTGTAACAAATTGAAAAATAACACAGAAAATGACCCTGTGCTTGTGGGCAGTGTGCTGTGCTGTGTTCCCAAACACCCGGGGTAGAGGGCGGCTATTCGGCTTAACGCTGAACAATGGCAGGGACAAATACATGACAGAGATGGGTCTTCTGTGTCAATACACCGGAGGTTTGTTTGTGTGAGGGGACGTGTCCCAAACGTATGTTCCTTGGCCTCTGTCCTAGCTTGATGGCTTCGACTCGCCATCCAGGTATCCAAATTCATGTGTCCATATGCGGGATTTATTTCTTTTAACTATTTATCAGCATGTATATAAACTGCCGGGGAAAAGAAAGAATACACTTAAAAAATGGATTTGACGAAAAAGTACAAACTATCTCTAAAGTTACAAGGTTGAAAACTGTCACTGAAACAATGCAAACTCAAATACATCACCATCGAATAGCCACATTTTTGTTTTATTTTTATCCACCATTAAACATTGGCGCATACTTTCTTTTCATCGGCCGTTTACATTTGTACACATACGATGGTATATGTATGTATGTATGTGTGTGTGTGTGTGTGTGTGTGTGTGTGTGTGTGTGTGTGTGTGTGTGTGTGTGTGTATGTATGTATGTATGTATGTATGTACGTATGTATGTATACTAGATATGCATCAGCGTGTGTATAATATTAACTCAGTATCTAATGAAGGACAAGAGGTAGCCTGAATCGTCGTTACAAAGAGATCCATGTCTTCATATATGGCGGTGATTTGTATTTTTCTCTTCAGAGATTAATCTTGTTCCGACCTGCACTATCTGATTTGGCTTTGTGTAATCTAATTCGGTATCATTTATGGAGAAGCTCGTTGATGTCGTTCTTGTTCGACTTTGTCTTTATGGATCATAAATGTCTTGCCATTTTTCGCCCATCACTCATCATTTCCTTAATTCGTGTGCATGTATTTCAGGTAGTCATAGGGTAAAGAAATGTGGGTGAGTGACTGAGTGAGTGCTGCTTCATGCCGCATCAGAAATCTTGAAGCTACGATGTCGAATAGACATTTTTTGTGACCCTTTAGGGAGAGCGTTCAGTGCACGATGCTAATAAATGCTTCGGCTTCAGGCTAAACAAGGCACAGCTACTAATTAATTTTTATACCTTATAATAACATTTATTTACGTTACATCGACATTTTTATACGTCATAACGACATTTTTATGCGAGATCTGTTCTGTGTTTCAGGGAATTACAGGCGCCAAGGGTGAGCCTGGAGAGAATGGGATGCGTGGCTACCCCGGGGTGGAAGGTCCGGGGGGTCTGAAAGGCCAGAAGGGGGAGCGGGGATTCCTGGGCACTGAAGGGGAGAAGGGGGACATGGTACGTAGCGGACGCCTCATCTCACATCGAGGCATCCATCTCCAACACATCGACTGTGCACAACCCCGGTTAACTTAGCAAGAAAATACTACCCTTTGGGGTTTCCCTTTTAGAATAGATCCCTAGCACGTCATCCTGGTAAACTGATGAGGATCGGGTAGCTACGATGTAAGACCTGGCTGATGGTGTGTCATCTTACCCGATGGCGTGGAGCGTTTGCCACACAACAACTCAGCCCCGTGTACGCTGGGACAGAGCTGGAGTATTGCTGACGGCAGAGTAGACACGACATTGTTGCTCTTTACGGAAACCCATAAGGGCCATGCCACTTTTCTATTATCTTGAAAATTCGAGATACTTAGTTGAAAACTAAAGAAACTAAGTTCAAAATTGAGGATATTATTTTGCAAATTCACGTTATTATGTTGATGTTCAAGATAAACAGAATTTAGCAAATGACCTTCCCAAAGGTTCACTTTCTGCTTTGAACTGAGACTGTTGCCAGATAATAACTTTTCCGGAAAAGAACTTCAATTTTCAAGATAGCACCTTCTATTTTGTAATGGGTTGCCTTATTAGATAAAGAGAGGATCCGTGAATATCCGGGTAGAATAGGTCTTCAGCAACCCATGCTTGCCGTCAAAGGCGACTATGCTTGTCGTAAGAGGCGACTAACGGGATCGGGTGGTCAGGTTCGCTGACTTGGTTGTTGCATGTCATCATATCCCAATTACGTGGATCGATGCACATGATGTCAATCACAGATTTGTCTGGTCTAGACTCAATTATTTACAGACCGCCGTCATATAGCTGGCATATTGCCGACTGCGTCGTTAAACAACAAACAAACAAACAAACACTAACATTAGCTATCACACACTGCATAACTTTGAGGGACATGGTTCTGGTTTGTCGGGTCTGACCTCCAATGTCATGTCCAGTTTCGATAAAACAACAATACCGGACCGACCTAAGATATTTTATATAAAAATGAACATGTCGGCATTAACAAACAAACAAACAAACAAACAAACAAACAAACAAAGATAAAGGGAGCGCAGAATGCCATCCCTGAAGTGCATGTCTTTTAATGTCTGTGTTAATGCATGTATATAACGTCCATTGTTTGTTGTCCAGGCTGAACCGTTATAGCCGTAAGCACCCGCGTGTGTGTCCATGACGACAGTGACTGATGAAACAGAAATACTTCACTGATTTCTTTCGTTGTAGGGCAGTCGCGGCATGCCTGGTGTTCCGGGGACTACAGGGCAACCGGTGAGTTATCGCCCTTGTGTGAAGGTTATTTTCAAAAAGATATATTCGCATCGTTTATGATTAGATGTTTTTGTTATTAAAGAAATCTACGATTCCTCTAACTTTCTGTTTTTCACATTTTATGTTTTATACAGTTTCTAACCGCTTCCGATGCAGGGAAAGGTACATAACTGTATATCATATTTATCTTATTTCCTCACGACAGGGTCGAGCCGGCGGGAGAGGCGCGATCGGCCACCCTGGACCAATGGGAGACGTGGGTCCCCATGGGCCGAAGGGGGACAAGGGGTTGGCTGGTTTTGATGGCGTCATGGGACCAAGGGGCTTTAGAGTGAGTAGAGATTCACGGTGAAATCATTGGACTTGGTTGAATGGGACTGAAATCAGAGTAAATGAAATGTCCTCTTTCATTTTGGGTTATCATGAACAACGGTAATTTTATAGGATTATTATATTGTTGATGATGGCGATACTAACAAATAGTAATAGCAATAACGATGACGACGACGACGACGATAACGACGATGATGGTGATAAATGAATGAGTATGGTTTTAAGCCGTTTTAAGCAATATTCCAGCAATATCACGGCGGGGGACAGCGGAAAAGGGGCTTCCCAAATTGTACCCATAAGGGGAATCGAACCCGGATCTTCAACGTTAGGAGCCGACGCTTTAACCACTGGGCTACCCCACCGCCCCGATGATGATGGTGATGATGATGATGATGATGATGATGTTATTATGAGTCTGATGTACAATTCCCTTGTTTCAGGGTCCGGTGGGAGTACCTGGGGTGCCAGGCAAGAATGGTAAAACGGTAAGTAGCCTGCGGACACCCGGCATGGTGTAAGAGGAGGTGCGGGGTGTGCTGTTGATTATTGTCGAATGCAAACTTCAGTCTGAACGTTTTAATTGTTTCAGGGAGAGACTGGTCCCCCGGGAGAGGATGGCATGCGCGGACTTCCTGGATGTGACGGACTGCACGTGAGTAACACGTGGTTATTTTTATATGGCGTCATTGGTCAAATTGGCCAGTCAGCATTTTTACAGAAATCCTAATCAGCCTGATACGACAACCTTAATAGCTAAGGAACTACGACCAAGTCGTTTTGTGAATAAAAGCGACAAACCCCTTTCCATATTTATTAGAAATCTCTGCCAAAAGCAAAGTCGACTGGTACAATTCCGGCCATATCATGCATATGGTCCTTGAATCCCCACCAAATAGTGATGACACCAGGTGTTCGCGAAGAGGTGAGCGTATCCTGTCCCAACTGTGGCACCTGTCACAAACACATGCAAACGCAACAAACTTTGTTAGTAATGTAGCTAATAAAGTGTGGCGTCATGTAACATGGCTCATGAAGTCTCTCTATGCATCTCAACGCACCGACTCGTTATTCTGTTATAAACAGTCACGAAGCGACTTTACGTTACCTAACAATAAGCATTCATGTATTGACTTTATAATCACGTTATAACAATAAATATTCATGCGTGGACTTTACGTTACCTAGCACTGAACAGTCATATGTCGACTTTACGTTACCTAGCACTGAATAGTCATATGTTGACTTTACGCTACCTAGCACTGGACAGTCATATGTCGACTTTACGTTACTTAGCACTGAATAGTCATATGTCGACTTTACGTTACCTAGCACTGAACAGTCACAATAATGTCGACTTTATAACACCCAGATATATAAATATTCATGCATTGAATCTACGTTATTCAGCAACAGCCACTCTTATGTCGACTTTACGATTCTCAGGGAAAATCAGTCATATATTGGATATCATTTTTCAACTATTAGGAGCCACGTGTCGAATAGGTTTCCTTGGCCCATACAAACACCTCTCCCTTGAGTCACACCTATAAAAGCTATTACATCCATGGTTCGTGTTACACATACAGCACCCTTACCGCCACATGTATATCGGGGGATAAGACAAGGCTGTGTTTACACACTGGCGTACAGCCACCACGTGGTGCACAGGAGACTGCTCACTGATTCCACTCGGGGGAATATGCAACCCACATTGCCATAGGTCAGGTGAGCTATCGAGGTGAAACTACCCTGTGGGTCAGATCAGACGTTGTAATGGTGATATTTGTGTTTCAGGGAGTCAGTGGGGAGCCAGGGTCACCTGGTGTTCCAGGATCTATGGTGAGAGGCTGTCGGGTCCACTCGGCTATTTCCGTTGACTACATTGGGCAGCATTGGAATAGTGATATTGTATTTTCTTAACTGAAACACGTGTACCGCTAGATTCCGCCGCTTAAAGTTCGTAATGGCCGTTTTTAGGAAAAAAATAGATGTTTAACGGAAATTATGTAGTTTAATTTGATTTGGAAAAGAAAAAAGTTAACAGTAACACTATTGATATGAATATGTAGGTTCACGATTGCCGCTAGATGGCGTTATGTCACATGTTTGTCTCGGGCACGACCTTGTTTAAATATCGACTGTGTTGTCTAAGATGACTTTTATATGGGTTCGAAACAAGCCGATTGCGGGGAGAGGTTTGAATAAACTGAAAACTGCTCATCACACTGCAGCTCGGTTAACGATAGCTGTTAACAGTGCCAATACAAGCAGAGGTACACGTACAGTCGCATGTCAATAAGGAGCTTCATCAAGAACGAAGGTAAGACTGCTCTATACAATGTTTGTGTTTTGGATTCCCGTAAAACCTTCACGGAATCATGTCTGTTACATTCTCTACTCTTCCATTGCAGGGTCCGAGGGGTCCTCCGGGTGTTAGTGTGCCGGTACGTCTGTCTTGTTCAGCTTTATGTGTATAGTCTTTCAAACACGCAGTATACATGACTCCATAGTCGTTATTGCCAATATTTGGGGGATTTAAGTTTATCTCGAGATTATATTGGCTAAATGGGGTTATATCGTTCCTTCTCTGTGGGGATTCTTGACAAGAAATGTCTCCAGGACAAAATACTTGTCGAAGAAAGTTGGGAATAGGATGGTTTCAAAGACTGCCACATGAGGTCACGTATAGTGGCCTGGAGACCGCCATCGAGGGGAGATAACTCTTGAATGGATTAATTGAGCGTCACCGTACCTCTGACGCTGGGGGTTAATGCTCAGACTATCAACCACTGGTGTGTTTGGTCCAGGCTCGGTTATTTACGTGCCGTCGTGATATAACAAATATGGGTGACTGTGACGTAACACAATTACAATTAGAGATTCAAGAGAACATATACACATCTTTTTTGTGTGTGTTGGAATCGCGACGTGAACACTGCATGACCCTATATTTGAAGCAGGGTAGTGTGGATGACGTGTTATCCAACTCAAACAGCTTCAAATCCTATACAATCTGCACCTCTTTAGGTGTCATGTCGTTCTAGGTTCGTCTATACCTGATTATGTTCAATGTGTCTTGGCCAGCTAGGACTCGCAGTAATTCCTTTGATTCCTTTTGTTGTCAACCTTCATCCTTTAATGCAAATCTTAATTTTCTCATAAAAATGAGAGACAAGTTCTTGACATTACCGTCAAGGATTGGACGTTTCCCAATCTCATGTTCGCTCCGATTGTTTCAAGGTTTGTCAGCACCATAACCGTGCTCGTGGGTTTCACCGAAGTGGTAAGCGTGTGAGACCTGCATCACTTCGGGCTTTCCTCCCACATTAAGCTGCCACGCCGTGATATAACTGGAATACTGTTAAAGGCGGCGTTAAACCCAACTCACTCACTCACTCACTCACTCACTCACTCACTCAATCGGTCCCAATCTAATTGAAATCAGGTATTTTACACCGATTTGTGAAGCGTAGTAAAATATCCGTCTTTGCATGAGATAGGAAAGTGGTCACCACGTCTGTACCCCAGACCCACACGGTCAGTCTCCTCGTGTTTAACGAAATATTGAATTGCAGGGTGTCCGAGGTCCCCCGGGCCTGCCCGGCCTCCCAGGGAACTACACCCCAGACGGAGCACCTGCCCTCGTCAACATGATAACGAAGATTGCCAAAGGCCTGAAAGGTGAAAAAGTAAGACACAGATCTCAGACAACTTTGCGTCAATTATCTTGTCCAATATATATGTTTGCGATAGTAAGTTTTAAAAACACAACAGTGACATGGTTGTATAATATAATATTTACCTGAATATCTTCGATGTAATCTCACACGTTTTGAAAATCATTTGGATTTCGTTGTCTTTAATATCTGGGTGTTTCGACATCTGTACAATGTGTGAAGCCCATTTCTAGCATTCCCCGCCGTTATATTCATGGAATTCTAGTTTTGCTAAAAGCGGCGTAAAACCACACTCATACACTCTGGGTTTCAGAAAAAAAACGTAACTAGACAATCTCGACTGAACACACACGTTCATTGCAATCACGTCATCTTGTGATGGTGGTTATCGGTGTCCGATTTGTAGCCCTTGAGTTGGAAATATTCAAAGCTGTTTTCTTGTGTCTTCATCGATGAAATTTTCAATGTAAATATCTTCAACGAACACAATGTTTGCATCTTTACCAATCACTTCCTGGTAATTAATATTTCCTAAATGCCGTTTTTACTTCTTCTCGAGACTAAACGCAAAACACTATAAAATTCTTTTATTGTCAGTTAACGCCCTGGACTCGGGAAGATGCTGAACTATATCTCAGTGCCGACCAATGTAACTGAAGCGCTAGTAAAATCGTAACCTAATCACGTGCGTTTTGTCTGTTACAGGGCGAGCGTGGATTGAGAGGTGAGAGATGTTGGGGGGTGGGGGGGGGGGGGGGGGGGGGGGGGGGGGGGTGGTCAGTGCGTCATCAAGCTACTGGCTACCTACAGCTAGGTGCAGATAGATTAAAATGAAGTGAAACAACGTGACTGGCTCAAATGAAGTCAAATTTACTGATCACGGAAGCATGGTTTAGAGTAATGTCCCTTTAATCGCATATCGGAATGATGGGTTTTCAGGCTGACGGAACCCGGACTGACGATCTTTCACTCCATACAGATATGAATAGGTCTCAAAAGCATTATTGCTCCATAACAATCAAATGTAAACATTTTATGCAACAATATTTTATACATATAGATCCACAAGACTAAATCTGATGTAAATGGAAACCATATTATCACATATACAACTATTGAGGAATAAGATTACTCTTTGTAATATATATGGACCTCATAGTGATGGCCCAGTGTTCTGTAATACCTTTTATATTAACTAATAAGTGTTACGTACTGTGTAATATAAATTGTCTACTTGCTTTTTTTTTATAAGGAAAGGGGTTGTAGACAGGGTGACCCATGTTACCATATCTTTTCATCATTTTTTCATGAACATCCCCAAATATAACTACATTTTTTCTCTTCATCAACCATTAAAACTTCCAAATACGTGTATTTGACTTTATTTCATCGAAAAAGGTTTCCAGATCTTTAATGAAAATTAGCGTGGGGCGGATCTTGTTTTAAAAAAAATGCTACCGACCTGCAGGCTTGATTCAAAATATTATGGATGTATATATGTATACTATAGACAGACCCCTACCAAGGGGAATAACTCCTGTAGCACTACCGATCGCTCAGTGGCTCTGACGAGTCTATCGGTGGCTTCTTTTCAACCTTAAAGATGGACAGTGGCATGCTGCCTATTTCAGTTTCCGTGTTTAACTGAGACATTGTTTACTAGAGTAATCATGTCTGCTACAGTAAAGTACGGTTATAACGAACTCAAAGGGACTACTAATTTTAGTTCGTTATAACCGTAGTTCGTTATAAGCATATATACAGCATAATACAGCTAATTATCGGGACCAAAAAAGTAGTTCGTTATAGCCGTCAGTTCGTTATAAGCGTGTTCGTTATAACCGTAGTTTACTGTAATTGATATACAGCGTTGCATTTGGGTAAATTTACGAACAAGATGATGCTTGTGTTACAAGTATTGGAACCAAACTGGTTATAGGTCAGGCAAATCGTCACACCCTAGTCCTCCATTTTATCCATACTACGACCACTAAACTTCACTACCAGCATTCCAGTAGCTTCAGGACCTCGTTCGTAGCGCTACGACTGTCATAAGTCAGTCTTACAATATAGGTATAAATAGCGGTCTGTATATTTGTAAGGCTAAAAAAAAGCTTATAATGTCCAACGTCGTATGGAGAGAAAGATGTATTAACGTGGGACTCTCTACTTTACAGGGCCTTACGGATTCCCAGGGCTCCGCCTCCCAGCAGTAAAAGGGTCCAGAGTAGGTAAACTTCGCGTTCTGTATATGTACCTGCTGGGCAGCTGGCGTAGAGATGCATGGGTAATTAAGAACCCACGTACATGGGTGTATTCGTTAGATTTTTGGTATGTTTTATACACTGATTTCTTTAAATGTCGTTATCCGCCGATACCACCGGCAAAGAAAACACATTTATGGGACGTTGTCGAGACTTACGCTGGGAATGTTTTTAGCGTTTCAAACCTAAACGCTAACTGAAATTTATTCATTCGTTCGGTCGTTTGTTCGTCTTTCTTTCGGAACGTTGTGGTAGCCTATTGATTGAAGCATTAGCTCGCCAGGCCGAAGACCCGGGTTCGATTCCCCACATGGGAAAATTGTGTGAAGCGCATTTCTTGGGTCCTCCGCCTTGATATTGCTGGAATATTGCTAAAAGCGGCGTAATACCATTATCTGTCACTCACTCACCCACTTCATTCATTCATTCATTATGGTGATCTGCAGGGTCTCCCCGGGCCACGTGGGTACGCAGGGAAAGACGGCCTCCCTGGGCCCCCGGGCTCTCCAGGCATACCCGGGACACCAGGGGGGTCTGGCTCTGTAAGGGGCTTACTCGGACCCCGGGGAGAGAAAGGGTCCATAGGCACCCCAGGACGTGACGGCCTCCCCGGGCTACATGGCCCTAAAGGCAGCTATGGGGTCGGGCTCCCTGGCAGTAAAGGTTCAAAGGGAGAGGAAGGGATGGTCGGTATGCCAGGACGCTCGGGTCGGGATTGTCCACCAGGGGCGGCGCTACCAGGGCTCCCAGGGATGTCAGGACCCCCCGGGCCACGAGGGCTGTCAGTTAAAGGCGAAAAGGGCTATCACGGAACAATTGGGCCGTCAGGTAACACACAGAGAATCGTTGCAAACAGTTAACTCAGTTTTTTTTTTTATGTTTGGTTCAGGCCATAACAAGTTGATTGCTTAAGAAGGAGACTGTATGCATGTAAACTTTATTATAGAACAACGTTTCATCGGATGAGAGGGCCAAGAAAGGGGGATAATACGACAGATAGATGGTGGCACAGATCACTTAAATCAATGACCCCAAGCACTACAGTCCATGATTTGCAAAATAACTCAAAATCGGGAATAGTCTATTAAATGTCACTGCTGTACGCGACAATGGATACACTGTACCAACACTATCTGCTGTTTGTTATTTTTATTCCCATTACTGGAAAAAGTTGTTTCAGAAACAAGCAAGTTGTGATGTGTACACGTTGACATCTTGTCAAGGAGGACAAGAAACGTTGTGTTCCTCATAATAAAGAAGTTGACATCGATAAACTCTCTCTCTCTCTCTCTCTCTCTCTCTCTCTCTCTCTCTCTCTCTATTATGTGTATCAGAGACACATTCAAAGATTTGAAATTGCTTGCTTGTTCAGATTAATTCTTTTCCCAATGTTGATGTAACATGGCGTATCCAATTACTGTTTCGTCTTCCGTCTCCTGGTTCACTACTAAAGCGAAAATGATGCATGGAAGATATTCAAAAGTATCATTTAGGCATAACATAATCTAAACGAGTGTTATATGTCTAGGAAAGCGAGGCCGGAAGGGTGTGGCCGGGAAACCGGGGCCTGTTGGTGAAAAAGGGGAACGCGGGTATTCCGGTCCTCCAGGTCCCCCGGGAGGAGCGGTCACGGAGGCAGGAACTGTAGTAGGGCCAATGGGACCCCCTGGGCAGAAGGGGGAACAAGGGGAGGGCGTGAGAGGTCAAACAGGTCCTAGAGGATTCCCGGGGATGAGTGGCGAGCCTGGGAGGGACGGGCTACCCGGTCTGGACGGTGAGGATGGACTGCCGGGATCCCCCGGAACTCCTGGAGAGGGACTTCCGGGTATGCGAGGTAGGTAGTTGATCTGTCTCAGTGAAGAGTTATCTCCCTTACTACATTCGTCAAACATCGCCTCTTTCACGTCTACGTCTAAGTTATACAATTCTATATCGAGCAACATCTATATAAGGGACTTGACATTCGCCAGATTGTGTTGTGTCATTATATTGTGAAATCCGGTTCTGACATGAATTCCTTTCAATGCTGTGTGAGATGACATGTATTGGGACGAGGAGTCGAGTGACTTCGCCCCTTTCTGTACCCTTGTAGAAACAGTTCAGAGCTTTATTCGTAACATTTAACTATTATTCTGTACATTTGTCCATTATTTCAACCGATGTACCTTTTGACTGACAGGCCTCCGATGTAGTTCGGCTTGTCCCGGAAAGACACGAGTATTTATGAATGTGGGTTGATTCGGCTTTTTGCTGTATTAAATTGAATTAATTATAGCATTGTGTGAGCCTTACCTTGTACTATCACTGGAAGATACCGGAACTAACGGACCCAGTATTGTGACCATTGCGAGGCAAAGGTTCTGTTTCAAACCTCATATTTCCAATTATCAATAACTGAATATCAGAATACAAAAGAGAAATCTCACCAACGCTAGTTTATTCACATGCCACAATACCTCGATATTCGATAATTTACGCCGACCACATGGAAAAGAAAACGAATGGCCGCTCTTCAAAGAGAGTAAGGACATAATATAAATGCTTGTTTTCAGGCACGAAGGGAATGTTTGGGACTCCGGGGCTGCCGGGGGAGATGGGGTTCCCAGGAGAGAAGGGGGAAAGCGGAATTGCGGGACCCCCGGGTCGGCCTGGCCCACAAGGCCTGCAAGGTCAAGGTCTCCCCGGGCTAGACGGTCTCAATGGCGTCAAGGGGAGCAAGGGGACGCCGGGTAGGGAGGGTTACCCTGGAGAACCGGGCGCCCCGGGGGAGAGAGGAGTGAAGGGGGAGTCCGGTTTATCCTCCGATGGGATCAAGGGCGAGAAGGGAGCCCCTGGTGAAGGTCTGAACGGGAGGGACGGGGCGGAGGGACCCCCTGGAGTCAAGGGGGGGAAGGGAGCTGCAGGTCTGCCCGGAGAGCCAGGGAGGGACGGGAAACCAGGGAGACCCGCATCAGATGCTGACAGTATACCGGGGATCAAAGGTCAGTGAATAACGCTGAATAATTTGATGTATGTACGGAAGCCTTGTATGGCAATTTGTTTATATATATATATATATATTTTTAAAGATACTAAGCAAGATAGATGCTAAGTTGAAATTTCAAGATAATGATCTTGAAGTTTCAACATAGCATCTTGAAATGTCAATCTTGAAATTTCAAGAAAACAAAACATAAGAAACAAATGGCCCTAAAAGGCTTCTGTATGTATGTACATATCACAATAGTAAACTCGAGAGGGGAGGAATACGTTTGTTGTGTTGTAGTGAATTCTGGGTAAGGTCCTCGGTTCCCTACCCTGTCGTAAATGAAGGCTAACGAGGATCGTATAAATTGTAATCTGGATTATTGTATGTCATCATACCTCATGGGTCGCTACTCAACCACTGGTTTGCTGGCCCAGACTCGAGTATAATCGATTTCCTCCCGTACAGTAAACTACGTTTATAACGAACACGCTTATAACGAACTGACGGATATACCGAATTTACCTTTTTGTCCCGACTATTTGCTGTTGTTACGCTGTATATATGCATATAACGAACTACGGCTAAAATGAACGAAAATTAGTGACCATTTTGAGTGCGTTATAACCGTAGTTTACTGTATTGGAATATATGCTGTTAAAAGCGGCTTCCAACCCTACTTACTGAAATCGCAACGACAGTGGTGCCCTTATGTAGTCCTAAAGGTGATGGTGCGCGGTTTATAGTTTTTCAAAAAGGTTCTTGATTCATTCGGCTAAACTTTAGACAGTCGATTCTGACGTATACTCGTTAACCTTGGATCTTAAAACTTTCGAAACCGAAAACTTTTTAAAACAGGGCATTAACTGACTGAATAATGCCCAACAATGTCCTCACATCTGCGGAGTGAGATATGACGCTGTAGAAGTGGAACAGTCCAAGCCTGAGCATGCTCAGTGATCGTTCCTATATAAATAAATTGCAAGTGATTTCATGACATGTTATGTTTGCGTTTATACTTCCATGATCCCAAACAAATAGGCCACGCCCACTAGCGGACTACCATTTCCTTGGTGCCGTTGTACAGAACAACCTCTAGCTCTACGAGTGTCGTAAGCCTGTGTTCGCTTTGTGCAACGGCGCCCAGATTGACAATTGGACCTGGAGTGGGCTGTGTTGCATTATTGCGCTGAACGATGTCATTCATTTCGTATTGTTGTCTACATGTTTGTCTGTTACTAATTAAATAAGGAGTCTGAGACGTTATAATTGTTGCCTTATTTATTAATAAGAATTTACTTGAATTTTTTTGCGCGTTTATTGAGGTATAACGTAAATCCCGGTTTGCACACTTTGAGTAATTTGTCACGGCTCTACACAGTTTGGCAAATCAGTTTTTACGCTTAAACCTCCACAAACGCAAAGGAATATTGAAATCAATTCTTAATTGAGTGGTGCTGAATAATATGTCTTCAGGTGAAAGGGGCTTAACTGGGCTGGACGGCGAGAGGGGTTACCCTGGATCAGACGGTCCCCAGGGACCACAAGGGGTGTCTGGGGAGAAGGGGGAACTAGGTCTGCAGGGTCTACCAGGGCTAGACGGTCTGGATGGACAGATCGGCCCTCCTGGGGCTAATGGTCTTAACGGCGAGCCTGGGGCCCCGGGGTGGGATGGGGACAAGGGCGAGGCAGGGGAACCAGGACCCCGGGGCTACCCAGGGGAGATGGGAATGCCGGGAGAACAGGGGTATGGAGCGGAGGGACCTAGAGGAGAGAAGGGGGAACCCGGAGAAGTCGCCCGCGGGTTGCAGGGGGAGAGAGGCGAACCTGGCCCCCTGGGTCAGACTGGATTGCCAGGCCTCCGGGGCCTGCCTGGGGGTGACGGCCAGAAAGGAGAGCGGGGACAGCCCGGTTTTGGGATGAAAGGCTTCAAAGGTAAGTAGAGTATATGTCCTTAATACATAAGAGGACTCAAAAGGAGTAAGAGAACATCCGATTCTCTCATGCCATATTTCATGCCATAGCAGATTTAACATAGTCATATAAAGGAATCAGGTTTTCTTGGGTGACCGATCAACTACAGCTGTATAAACCGGGTAATCTTTAAATTCTTTTGAGTAGTATCTATATATATGAAAGCAATTATGAACAATTTTATCCATATCAAAGATGAGATATGAGACTGTCTGTAAAATTCGTCTGATACATTAACATAATTTTCGAAATGAGCCAACCTTTTAAAAATTGTGAGGAAAGTGTTCAAATGATTGGGAATCAGTTTTGGCGCTTTTCTTGCAGGCGACAAGGGCATGGTCGGGATGGGCATGCCTGGCCCCCGGGGAGAGAGAGGTGACCCTGGAATTAAGGGTGAAGTCGGCCCAGAAGGACCCCCGGGACCAGCCGGTTTTGGAGAACAGGGAGAGAAGGGTGAGGCAGGGGTCGGGATTCCGGGGCCCACGGGATCCAAGGGGGAGAGGGGAGAAGGACTACCGGGATCCAGAGGAACACCAGGTAGGAAGGAGCTATCACTTTTTATATATCTGGTTTCTATGAAATCGAAGAAGGATATTGTCGCTTTGTCGCTCTTCCAAAAACAAGCAAAATTGAACTTTGTATTTTTTTCATAACGTCCCTTTTAAGATTCCGTAGGCTTCGTATGGATGTTTGGCTCCAGCTTTTATTTGACAATTTAACTGAACGGTTAAACTTCAATCTTTTCCTTCATAATTTAAATCAAATAGATTATTAAGTCAATTTAAAAAATTGGCGTGTAGTTTTTATCGATTCATTGCCAGACAGACATGAACCCTCATGCCTAGCATCCATATTTCCTTGCTCTGTACACAAAGGCGTGTATATATTTTTTTACGCTGTGTCCATAAAACATCCATCAACAAGATGTATTAACGTCCTCATCCACGTGTTCCCAGGTCTAGCCGGACCCTCAGCGTACATCTACGTCCGTCACAGCCAGGATCAGCGCAAACCACCCTGCGTGTCCTGGCACCCCTCACTGTGGACCGGGTACAGCATCCTCCACACCGAGGATGAGGGGCGGGCTCACTCCCAGGATCTCGGTACGGCACTGGCCTCATGTAGCTTTCATGCGTTTCTTGTATTTCGTTTGTGGTTTAACGCCGCACTCCGCAACATTCCAGCTATGTGACGGCGGTCTGCAAATATTCGAGTCTTAACCAGACAATCCAGTTGTTGGCATCATGAGGATCGATCCACGCAATTTGGATACGATGACATGCATTAACCATGTCAGCGAGCCTGACCACCCGATCCCTTTAGTCGCCTCTCTTGACAAGCATAGTCGCCTTTTACGGCAAGCATGAGTTGCTTAAGACCTATTCTAACCCTGATCTTCACGGGTGTCTATCATACAATCTAATTGTATATCGATGTAGTTTTTAATTTGAAGTTTACACGATATACGGCTTTTCAATTGGACGAGAGGTCGGTCACATGACCGCGAAATTGATGTTCATACGTGTATGAACGACACAATTTGACGTTCATACGTTTTTCACGAGACCGTGTTCTTGAAATGACGTAAACACTGACGGACTACTTCCACATTCCTTGGGAAACCCCTGGGAATTCCCTAGCACGAATACATACAGAAGCGTTCTTTCTGATCATTTAGACCCTTTAATCTTAAATTCCCCGCTTTAGTATACATTAAGAAACGTCAGAGAGTTTGACTGCACGATCGTTCACGAATATCCTCGCTGCGACCCATCCTGGTGAACAAAACGAAGAAATGCACATCCAAACAATGGTAGGCGATCCGTGTCTGGGCTGACAGTGACAGTCTACAGCGGTCTATGAGTTTACCTTAGTGTCTGTTGGACAAATCTTTAATCACTTTTCAATGATCGTCCAATTGATCAATGATGATGACTAAAATATGTAACCGCTATAGGTTCATCAGCAACTTCCGAAATCGCTCCCTTCTCGTAAATCGTGTCGGCCATATTGACGTCTTGTATGTTTGAAAGGTCAACATATCAAGCTCCTTCCAAACGCGTGACACCTTGGTTACACTGTCCGTAACATGGCGGCCATCAGTGTGGAAGCGGCCATTACAGGAATCTATAAATTCTCCATTTAACCTCAAATATAGTGACGACGAACTGATGAATTAATTTACGTTCTCTTTGTTTGAATCAGATTTGTTCGAGATTGCAGACTAACGAAATAACACACAGCTCCTTAAATACTACATGATAGTTGAAGTGAAATAGAAATTCAAATTGAAAAATAACATAATATAAATAATGAAAATAATTTAGCAGGTGGACGATTCTCACAACATTCATCACGTGTTCCGTGAACAGCCTAGATCGGTGTGTGGAGCTTGTCAACATATATACTAAGGGACATAACTATAGTCATTATTCAAAGCTCCTTTCAGCGATAGTAGGTTCGCGGAGCTCTCTATACTATCGCTGCCACCAGTCAAAACTCCCCACTGTGATAGGTGGCCCCAACCATGGAGTTAAACTCGCAACCGAATGACCGTTATGTTTACAAACAAGTGACGACTGTCGTGACGCCGAATACACTTACCGCTGCTAAGTTACTTTCTTTGTTTGTCAATTTGAATTTCTATTTCATTAAAGGTATCATCTTTAATTGATATAGTAAGAATGTAAGGGGGAGGTTGGTTGATTTTCCGTTAGTCTGCAATCTCGAACCAATCTGATTATTAAAACAACAAAGTAAATTCATCTGGAAAACATGGTCAGTCATAAACCATGAAATATGATGGCATTCCCAAAGACATAAACAAAAGTATAACGTTACTACATATGGGGTTAGAGGGCAAATTTCAAGATTCTTGTAATTGCCGCGCCCACACTGTTGGCAGCGATGTTACCGAGAGTGTAACGAAGGTGTCACGCGCTGGGAAGGAGCTTGTCATTATTCCTACCATGGGAAATAACTCTTACCTCCTAATGTATGCTATTATAAAGGCTACCGTCCCTGGATTGTCTGGGTCAGATTCGATCACCAATAGGCAGTTGTAATACAACTGGAATATCTTGATAATATAACAACCAAAAATGTATTTAAGACACACAAACAACAATGAGACAAATGAGAATCTCATCAGGGGGAGAGAAACTTCAGTAAACTGCTGATCATATTCAGTTCTCGTTGTCCAGTGCAGTGTGAGCCGATCTCAGCCTTTGAGAACTTACCCAGATGCTCGTTTTCATGTGTTGTTTTGCTTGATTTCCATCCAATATTATCTCCCCTTTCCAGTATCTTTATGTATTGTTGCAGTTGTGTGTGCATGCGTTTAGTGACAAAGATGGCACAAACCACTGGCTAGCCGCACCCTCTAGTTCTGACACACTCCCCGCCCCCCTCCCCCCCTCTCTCCCTCTCTCCAATGAATATACGTGCATCTGCAGATAAAGGCGGAGGCCATCTTGAAAATGAGCGGCATGCGCGCGCAGATCACTCATCTCGGGGAGTTCTATGATGGCGTGTCAGCTTGATGCGGGTGCAAAGCCCGAAGCGATGACGGTCATAAACATTGCACCGGTATGATACTGACAAACCAAGCAACATAATCAGGTCTGGGATTCAAACCCACGATCATGATTCTAACATGTCGAGGGGACACACCTGAATAGTTAACTACCACGCCCGAGAAGCCTATACCCCCCCCCCCCGTGCCCCTCTTATGTAGAGACCCTGCTCTTACATAAAGCATGTGTTCATTGCAGGTCTGGGTGGTTCCTGTGTCAGCCGATTCAGCCCAATGCCCATCCTCTTTTGCAACATCCATAACGTCTGCAACTACGCCAGCCGCACAGCTACCAGCTACTGGCTGTCCACAGGGGAGGTAATCCCCATGATGCCTGTAGAGGGAGCTGCAATGCTGACGTATATCAGCCGGTGTACAGTTTGCCAGGCCCCCGCGCCAGTCATAGCAGTTCACAGTCAGACGCCCCAGAATCCCGACTGCCCGCAGAACTGGGAGGAACTGTGGACTGGGTACAGCTTTGTCATGGTAAGACGTCTTCCACGCTACATCTGCTACAATTCTCGTGACATAGTACATGAGTGAGTGAGTTGTTTTATCGCCGCTTTGAACAGTATTTCTGTTATTGTAGCCGGGGAGATTTTACCATTTGAAGCACTTGCATGACGACATACCACGGATCATAATTGTGGTTTTGCTGGGATTCGAACCATTCGTTAATGAGGAGGTGGTGCTTGTGATGTGTGACATAGTAGACAAGAGAAATTGACATGAAAATAATTAAACCTGCATTTAGTACAACGACCAAGGTTCTATAAAAATAAGATTAGCTTGGTGCAATGAAGCCAGGAAAAAACAACCAAAATCAACCATTGGGAAATGTGTTTTTTGGGGCATCGAAAATTTTATTGAATGCTGCATTTAGCATAAGATCGTGAAAGTAAATTGTCCAACTAGTAGTATAGCAGAATTTAAGTTTTGGTTCCCTGGCGGCGAGGAGCGTAGCTTTACTTCAACCACTGGTCTGTCTGGCACATGTTCATTTAGCAACAGTGACCTAGCGTGAATATTGCACACAGGTATTAACTTAATCACCAACTCTTTTCATGTTTCAAACATTTGTAACATCAACAATAATAGTTTGGGGCTGTAAATTCATGACGAGATTAACCATAAACTATTTGTTCCGTACAGCATGCCGTTGGATCAATGAGCGGAGGACAACCACTAGCAAGTCCGGGAAGCTGTTTGGAGTCTTTTTCAACAAACCCATTTATAGAATGCACAAGCTCCGGACAGTGCCACTACTTCTCCGACAAATTTAGCTTCTGGTTGGCTACAGTACCGGACAGAAATAACTTCACCCCTGCTCAGGAGACGTTAAAAGCCGGACAACATCTCTCTCGTATCAGTCGATGTAAAGTCTGCATGCTGACTGTGTCGGTATGAGAATCTATAATACCTTGCCTTTGAATCTAGCGACGTTGTTACATCATTATTTGCAGGTAAAGATAAAGAGGGGGAAATAGGTTTATATATGGAGAATGTAAACGGACTTTGCGTCCATAACCATATCTGTACATTCTCATAGTCTCAGCTGGTGCTAACCTTTGTTATCGGGTATTTTTAAGTTGTTTTCTTTCAAATAGAACATGTGTTGTTTTAAGAATATGAAAGTGTTCTTTAACTTCTTTTGAGTAGTATATATTAACGACGGACGCTTGCTCTGTTTGACTAAAACGACATATTTGTACAAGACGATGACCCGGCCTGTGTATATCTCATATACATAGTGTGACATGACCGTCCTGTAACCAATAAGGGATTATTCCTGACAGACATTCACTCCGACAACACTGACAAAACCAAACATATGTGCAGAGATGTGTGTAGCCTTCGAATAATCCTTTTCACAGTACTCTGAGTTGGGCATAAGCTGTAATGTTTGTGAGAAGTGTGAGTAGGAGTGAGAAGCTTCTTGTCACCTCCATCACGAGACAGTGAACACTCGTGAAGACCTTTGGGATATTCATGCGTTTAACCACACGCCCTCACGGTCATCCAAACACTGGAAGCTGTCAACGGAACAATAAGCCTATTTCTCCAGACTCTTTGAAAGAAGTCTCCTTTTCTGCCAAAGCAGCTGAACAGTATGAGAAAATTGTGTCCATGAATTCAGAAGGATGTTCTCATATTTTAACATTTTCAATAACAATTATTTGTTTATCGAATCAGCATAATATTTTGTTCGGAAGCAACTTGGTACATGTATTCAAAAGGCTACTCCTATGGCATCTTGTGCTTGAGATGAATCCCACGGAAATATAGCTACATCTGTCATGCAACTGTCAATGATGCATGCATCGTCGCTTTAAGACCACGTGAAGAGGCACTGTGCCACTGTGTGGCCCGGCATGGAGTGAGTGAAAGAACAATAGTCCAATCAAGTCCCGGCGTGTCAGCTTGACGTGGGAGGAAAGCCCGCTGTGACGCAGGTCTTATCACTCAGGGGACAAAAACACGAGAACGGCTATAGTGCTGACAGGCTGAGAATCATAATCGGGGCAAACCGGGATTCGAAACCACGATCATAGGTTACTGGTATGCCCAAGGGAAGCAACTCTGCACAGCGAATTGCGGCGACTCGGCGACTGCTCCAACTCCCCCACCATCGTCTTGCCCCCGCACGGCGTGAAACGTGTTTCAAGTAAGGTCTATACTGGATATTGGCTAGAGAAGTCGGCGGAATGCCAGAACGAAGTGTTCAACGTTGTCGAGCTAACAGAATGTATGGTATCCTGTCTTATGGGGTTATAATGTGTATATTTATATTCTTCTTTGTATATAACTGCAGTAGTTATTATTCACGACTTGTATTTAGGTTTATGAATCGTGACATATATATGTTAAATTTGAAAGGGTTTAGTACCCATGTCTACTAAAATACATCGGCATCTATTATTCATTACATATAACGTTTTATTTACACACGCAAAAACACAGTAATGGTTCATCAAATGCGAAATAAACAATGCGTATTTACATGATTGTGTTATTCATCAAGACCATCCAAGAACGTGTTTTTGCGAATAACCTTGTATACTCCCAAGGGAACCGATCAGTGCAATATGAATACACACTGGTCTGTTGAACGGGGTAATATACTACACAAAACAAGTTCATATTACGTCAGTTAATCTGCTGTGGTATGACGGATTAACTTAAGAGATATGAAAGAATCGGGTGATCCCTTACGTGTTTTGAGTAGTATTTGTCATACATGTGCACATTCTATATCTCATCAGGGCTCGCATTTCGGTAAACCTACAGGAATCTCTGGATCCACTCCCGTGGTTCTCGCGATCTCAATTACCTAGCCTTGATTTTCATCAGCCAATTTGATTTGCTACGCTACTCAGTCTAACGAACCAATCAGAATGCGAGTTACAATGTTGGCTTGGCGATTGCACCAACATGGCGGCCAGTCCCATTGACTACGAGTTTAAAAGAAATTCAACATTGAAAAATTGACTGACACGCAAAAGAAAGCCCTCAAAAACCTTTTTGATGGAAAGGATGTCTTCATGAACATTAAAACTGGCGGTGGCAAGTCCCCTTGCTACTAAGCATTCACTGTGATATGCGAAGAGTTGGATTCTGAGAACAAGGTGTTGGTAATTTCTTCGTAAATTTCTGTTATTTCGGAACAGGGTCGGGAATACACAAGCCCTATATATTCTGCCTTGTACAGGGGCGGTCGGGTAGCCTAGTGGTTAAAGCGTTCGCCCGTCACGCCGAAGACCCGGGTTCGAATCCCGACATGGGTACAATGTGTGAAGCCCATTTCTGGTGTCCCCCAGCCGTGATATTGCTGGAATATTGCTAAAAGCGGCGTAAAACCAAACTCACTCACTCACTCACTCTGCCTTGTACATTGGGAAATACAAAGATGATGACGAGTGCAAAAGCCGTGGCAATTCCCTTTTTCCTCATCTCGACGTGTGATTGGTCGGTAAAATGTTAATGAAAATCAAGGGCGGGTAATTTAAGATCGCGAGTACCACGGGAATAGATCCAGGGGTTTGTGTAGGTTTTCCGAAATGCGAGCCCTAGAGATATAGACAGTTGCGTGTGTATTATTATCATTATGTCGTGATAACGTGGTTTGGTTGTATAATTTTAATGTATTTACCATTATAGTGATGTCCCATCGACTGAAACTAATGCTTCAATGCCAAAGATCGTCTACCTAGACTATACATCAAGGCTACCCTTTTTTATCCAGTTTGTTATATCTCCTTTGTATCAAGATACATACCCTTGACCCAGTGTGTTATATCTCCATCGTATCATGATACATACCCTTGACCCATTCGCCCCCATAGCTTCTTTTGAGAAGTGACGTCACCAACCCGTCTCTCCTCTCGACATCGCTCGCTCACGAGTGTAATTTGATTGGTCGGCTATTTCGAATCGTGCTCAAACGAAACGATAACAACAACTGGTTCTTGGGTATTTTTCGTCATAGAATAGACATACGATACAATGGATAACAGAGGATGTGTTAAGGCAGTGTGTGTGACTCAAAACTGTCACGTGACAGGTATAACCAAATGAGTGTTATTTGTATAAAAAAATATTTCAAATACTCATAACTCCAGTCAATTTGATAAACCAGCTTTACTCATATTATTTATGGCATATTACCAACTATTTTAATGTTCATTTCCAAATATTAAATTTTCTCACAATCACACCGAGGTGGAGGGGGCTCTTCGAGTTTTTTACTTCTTCTTGGTATCACTGATAACATCTTGTAAAACATGGAGAATATCACTCGAGTGAAAAAGTTACTTCACTAAGTTTAGTAATAAATTAAAAATGAAATAACATATGTCTTTACTCGTAAAATAACATTGTTATGTCATCGATTGAACTAGAAGTTGGTATAAAATGTCGACTTTGCTTTTTCTTTAAGATAGAAAAACACTTTCTTCATTAAAATATAAACTATGAAATGTTATGTCATGAAAGTACGCGATAGATATTAACGCAAGGGACTTCGCGGACTACCATGCTATGATCGACTTCAACACATATATAACCGGCCCGTGAAGATCCGGGGTAGAATATGTCTTCAGCAACCCGTGCTTGCCGTAAAAGGTGATTATGCTTGTCGTAAGAGGCAACTAACGGGATCGGGTGGTCAGGCTCGCTGACTTGGTTGATGCATGTCATCGATCCCAATTGCGTGGATCGATGCTCATATTGTCAATCACTGGATTGTCTGGTCCAGACTCGATTACTAACAGACCGCCGTCATGCAGCTGGAATATTGCTGAGTGCGGCGTCAAACAACAATAACACACAAAACATATAACCGCTAACAGACACACACCAGTCACGTGGTTTGTTGGTAAGCGTAAAACCCTCTCTCGGGTGTAATATTTGAGACTATTAATCTCACACGTGACCTCATCTCACAGAGCCCCCTCAAGTGTTGATATTTTTGGTGCTAGTAAATATTAAATTGAAATAAAATAATTTTATATATCGTCTTTGTGTTGGTGTTTGTATAAATAATTTCATCATGCATAGTATACATATAAGTTAAATAAACATTGGATGTATTTTTCCGACACGGATTCAGCTTTTTCAAAATCGGATCACACGCTAACACACATGTCCGTTTGGATGTCGGGCTGTGTCTTTTGAAACCATGTCATTAAATGAGATTAAATAGTAATAGTGGTGAAATACCATTACCCTTATACATACACGATCACATACAAAATGTACAAATGTTTAGTATCTTGAAAAAGGGGGAGCCGTGAATCGCCTGGTGAGTTTTCACTTTTGAGTGAGTGAGTGAGTTGGGTTTAACGCCGCTTTTAACAGTATTACAGTTATATCACGGCGTGTCAGCTTAAAGTGGGAGGAAAGCCTGAAGTGATGCAGGTCTCAGACGTTTACCACTTCGGGGAAACCCACGAGCACGGGTATGGTGCTGACAAACCTAGAAACATAATCGGGGCGAACCGAGATTCGAACCAACAATCAAAGGTTTCTGGCGTGCCCAAGGGACGCAACTCTGTACAGCGAATCGCGGCGCCTTAGACGACTGGGCCACCCGTGCCCCCAACTTTTGAGGGAGTTGGGTTTAACGCCGCCTTGAACAGTATTTCACTAAAGAAATAAAACAATGTGACCCCCATCATCACGCTGGCCTTCCCTCCTATACTGACCTTACGTGCTGTGATGTAACCCAACTCACACACTCACTGACCGCCTCCGTGGTCTAGCGGACATATCATCTGCCCAGCGAGCAGATGGTCTGTGGTTCGATCCCCGGCCGCGTCATACCAAAATACGTTAAAAGATGGTACTTGTCATCCTGCATTTAGTAGTCGGCTCGGAGTCGTATATATTCTGTCTGAGTGGGGTATCCATGTTAAATTGCGGTATGGTATATCAGTGGGCTAGCACTATAAAACCGGAGTGAGTCCACACATGCGACGAGACGTTAAAGCCCACCTCGCCTCGCCCCACAAGGCCGTGTTCCCCACGGACCTCAATTGGTGAAAGTCGTGTTCTATTTGAGATGAAAAGGGATTGCAATCACTATATAATCTATTCCCCACACTGTACTTCGGATGTAATACATGGCAGACACGACCCGAGTGACTGCTCTGCCTGCCTGATACAAAAATACTGAACATTATATAAAAGTTTAATTGTTCTACAATATACACAACCATATCCACTGACACACTGAAATAATAACATACACTCGAATATACACATGGATTTGACACTTAAAGGTGTACTCCGACATGAATGTATCACAGTCTGTACACAGTAATGTACCAATACATTGAACAATAGGCAAAGTGCCAACATATTGAACAACAGACAATGCGCCAACATATTGAACAATATGCAATGTACCAATATACTGAACAATAGGTAATGTGCCAACATATTGAACAATATATAATAGGCCAACATATTGAACAATAGGCAATGTACCGATATATTGAACAATAGGTAATGTGCCAACATATTGAACAATAGGAAATGTACCGATATATTGTACAATAGGAAATGTGCCAACATATTGAACAATAGGTAATGTGCCAATACATTGAACAATAGGTAATGTGCCAACATATTGAACAATAGGTAATGTACTTATATATTGAACAACAGACAATGCGCCAACATATTGAACAATAGGCAATGTACCGATATTTTGAACAATAGGTAATGTGCCAACATATTGAACAATATATAATAGGCCAACATATTGAACAATAGGCAATGCTCCAACATATTGAACAATAGGCAATGTCCATGTACACTGAACAATATGAAATGCAATGCACCAATGTACTAAAACAAGGCAATGCACCGATATGTACCAATAGTGAACAAAATGGAAAGTAACACTATTACGCTTCTCCATGCATACAAGACATTCAGAAAGCTTGCGAAATATTCCCTCCTCTTCCGAACCAATAGTTTGCCGAGTTGAATCAGGTTGAATCTGCTCATTGGGGTTCCATCGCATGCAGTTTCAATTAAAGATAACAGCTTATGTAGATGTAAATACTGAATTCAAATTAAAGACAATGTACGTACATCTAACAAATGTTGACGACAGGACACAACGCTGCGTTGACAATGTAGAAACCTGTATCTTGATTAACTCAACTCCAGTGAACAAGGTCACGGCGGGGTCACAACATAAATACACGCAAATCACAATGGATGAGTTTATTTCAATAAATAACACATTGATGAAAATGAAAAAAGTAAATGTCCACGGACCAATATGACACGTATCACTCTGAACCCTGAGCATTTTTTGACCAGCGATAGTTTTTAACTTTATGGAGTCCCGCTGGCCTTCTGTCACTTCGAGTCTTAAAGGAGGTGATATATGCCGAACAAAACAAATTAGGGATCATGAATATGTTTGGGTGAAATATTTTACGAAATTGTTCACTACAAAAAATATCCTCCAAATACAGCGTTCAGTATATGTTTTGTGGTAGAGCTTGGCTTGAGATGCAGCTAATGTTGGTGCACATGAGACCTTGTATATCCTAGCTGTTTACACCTGGAAAAAAGGAATTTCAACATATCGTTTCCTGCATTTCCTTGCATTGCATATAGGTGAGGCAGTTTTGATTAAGTGGTCTTGCAGTTGAATCTCATCCACATGGCCCTTTGCGCAAAACTCACGCCAATGTGTACAACATTATTTTATCAAAATATAAGCGACAAAACCATTTCCAAAATCATAAGAAAATCCATTATCCATTTTCAAGTACTCTGTTACATTCTGATTATATTATAAGCAATGTGATTTTGATTATTTGTTTTTTGTTCGATAAATATTTCAGCTATATCTGTAAATAATCGGGTCTGGACCAGACAATCCAGTGATTGACATCATGAACATCGATCTCCGTAATTTTGAATACGATGACATGCATCAACCAAGTCAGCGAGCCGGACCACCCGATCCCGTTAGTCGCCTCTTAAGACAAGCATGGGTTGCTGAAGACCTATTCTACCCCGGATCTTCACAGGTCGAATAAACTTGTGAGCAATTATCAAATGTTGATACTAATGTATAACGATGTTGTAGTAGTAAAGTCTTAAACATGTATGACAAAGAGTTATTAACTATAAATAATATAGCATATGTAACGACGTAAGGCTATATTTAGTGTTACTGAACTGTAACATAACAGCGTTGATCGATGTTCATGATGTCAATCACTTGATTGTCTGGTCCAGACTTGACTACCGCCGTCACATAACTGGATTAATACGGTGTTAAACAACAAAGAATCAGCTGTCATTGTGGAGCCGCTGCCCTCTTTACGAGTAAGTGAGTGAGTGAGTTGGGTTTAACGCCGCTTTTAACAGTATTCCAGTTACATGACGGAGGAAAGCCCGAAGTGATGGTGCTGACAAACCTAGAAACATAATCGGGGTGAACCGGGATACGAACCCACAATCATAGGTTTCTGGCGTGCTCAAGGGACGCAACTCTGCACAGCGAATAGCGGCGCCTTAGATGACGCCACCCGTACCCCATCCCCTTATTTACGAGGAGCATTTACCCACCTGTACACAGGAAAGCTTTAATGGATGGAACGAGGCTGGATAACTGATCGTCACTGGACACGTACAAGGTCTGGTTTGGGCTACTGGCTACACCTGCCATCTCCGAAGGGGACACAGCGTCGCTGAAGCCCACCGTTATGACGTTAATGCCGCTGTCCTTGACAGTCGTAGATGAAGCCAACGTCGCAGCAGGGTCGTCCGTAACGCTGTCAACTATGAAAATAACATGTCTCCCAACTCCCGCTCTCCAATTACCAGATAACAGGGTTTGGAGTTTGAGGAAAGCCTCCGATCCGTTTGTCCCTGCAAACTCTGCCGAAAAGTTGTCAATAGCAGAGTCTAGCAAGGCTTGGCTAGCTTCAAAGTTGGACAACAGTCTCGCGGTATCGCTGAACATAAGAAGAGCGATCCGGATGTCACCTTGGTTGACCAGCGCGTTGACATCCTTGATGAACCGGACGACACCAGGTGAGTACGTAACTCCTGTTCCGTCCTGCTGGGTTCGCTTAAGACTGTCCGAATCGTCCACCATGAGTACTACGTCAGCTGATGCCATGACACAAGGATCTGAAATTTGTAATAGTTTTGATCTGTAAACCATAATAACACAGACACATAAAGCTTGTCTCAACACATCTGATTGTGGGTTCAAACCCTTGGTCCCGCTCCACAGTGTCAGTGAGTATGGTTTTACGCCGCTTTTAGCAATATCCCAGCTTCACACATTGTACCCATGTCGGGAATCGAACCCGGGTCTTCGGCGTGACGAGCGAACGGTTTAACCACTAGGCTACCCGACCGACCGCTTAACACAGTATTCCAGTTATATCACGGCGTGTCAGCCTACTGTGGGAGGAAACTCCGAAGGGATGCAGGTGTCAGACTTTAACCACTTTTGTGAAACCGTCAAGCACCGCTATGGTACTGACAAACCATTGATCATAAACAGGGCGAATCTGGAATTCGAACCCAGGATCAACTGATCCTTACACGACTATTTATAATTTGGAGACATAAACATGAAGAAAACATAGGTTCTGTAGCTATAAAAAGTGGTTTACAGACAGTGGTATACATTTTGAAACGAAACATTTTGAGACTAAATATTTGGATCTATTCGAATAAATGCCTTGACTGGATTTGAAACCACGAATATTCGCGTTTGCTACAACCATACGGTTTTCATTCGACTGCAACAATGAATACTACCTTCACAATAAGAAAATATTCGGTTTGTACATACCTAAAACTATTGCGGCAGAATCAGACAATAAACCGCTTAGTCCTCCATTCATCGCCTCCCCTGCGTCGGTCGTGAAGGCGGTGACGTCAGTCGTGAAGTCGGTGAAGCCAGTCGTGAAGGCGGTGACGTCAGTCGTGAAGTCGGTGACGCCAGTCGTGAAGTCGGTGACGTCGGTCGTGAAGGCAGTGACGTCAGTTGTGACTTCAACGATGCCCGTCACAGCTGGATCCGCAACAGTTGTAGCATCCTCGCCTGCGTCGGTCGTGAAGGCGGTGATGTCAGTTGTGAAGGCAGTGACGTCAGTTGTAAAGGCAGTGACATCAGTCGTGACGTCGGTGACATCAGTCGTGACGTCGGTGACGTCAGTCGTGAAGGCAGTGACATCAGTTGTGACTTCAACGATGCCCGTCACAGCTGGATCCGCAACAGTCGTAGCACCCTCGCCTGAGTCGGTCGTGAAGGCAGTGACGTCAGTGGTGAAGTCGGTGACGTCAGTGGTGAAGTCGGTGACGTCAGTGGTGAAGTCGGTGACGTCAGTCGTGAAGGCAGTAGCGTCAGTTGTGAAAGCAGTGACATCAGTTGTGACTTCAACGATGCCCGTCACAGCCGGATCCGCAACAGTCGTAGCATCCTCGCCTGCGTCGGTCGTGAAGGCAGTGACGTCAGTGGTGAAGGCGGTGACGTCAGTCGTGAAGTCGGTGACGTCAGTGGTGAAGTCGGTGACGTCAGTCGTGAAGGCAGTGACGTCAGTTGTGAAGGCAGTGACATCAGTTGTGACTTCAACGATGCCCGTCACAGCTGGATCCGCAACAGTCGTAGCATCCTCGCCTGCGTCGGTCGTGAAGGCAGTGACGTCAGTGGTGAAGGCAGTGACATCAGTCGTGAAGTCGGTGACGTCAGTCGTGACGTCGGTGACGTCAGTCGTGAAGGCAGTGACGTCAGTTGTGAAAGCAGTGACATCAGTTGTGACTTCAACGATGCCCGTCACAGCTGGATCCGCAACAGTCGTAGCATCCTCGCCTGCGTTGGTCGTGAAGGCAGTGACGTCAGTCGTGAAGGCGGTGACATCAGTCGTGAAGTCGGTGACGTCAGTCGTGAAATCTGTGACGTCAGTCGTGAAGTCTGTGACGTCAGTCGTGAAGGCAGTGACATCAGTTGTGACTTCAACGATGCCCGTCACTGCTGGATCCGCAACAGTCGTAGCATCCTCGCCTGCGTCGGTCGTGAAGGCGGTGACGTCAGTCGTGAAGGCGGTGACGTCAGTGGTGAAGTCGGTGACGTCAGTAGTGAAGTCGGTGACGTCAGTCGTGACGTCGGTGACGTCAGTCGTGAAGGCAGTTACATCAGTTGTGACTTCAACGATGCCCGTCACAGCTGGATCCGCAACAGTCGTAGCATCCTCGCCTGCGTCGGTCGTGAAGTCGGTGACGTCAGTCGTGAAGGCGGTGACATCAGTCGTGAAGTCGGTGACGTCAGTCGTGAAGTCGGTGACGTCAGTCGTGACGTCGGTGACGTCAGTCGTGAAGGCAGTGACGTCAGTTGTGACTTCAACGATGCCCGTCACAGCTGGATCCGCAACAGTCGTAGCATCCTCGCCTGCGTCGGTCGTGAAGTCGGTGACGTCAGTCGTGAAGGCGGTGACATCAGTCGTGAAGGCGGTGACATCAGTGAAGTCGGTGACGTCAGTCGTGAAGGCAGTGACGTCAGTTGTGAAGGCAGTGACGTCAGTTGTGAAAGCAGTGACATCAGTTGTGACTTCAACGATGCCCGTCACAGCTGGATCCGCAACAGTCGTAGCATCCTCGCCTGCGTCGGTCGTGAAGGCGTTGACGTCAGTCGTGAAGGCTGTGACGTCTGTCGTGAAGGCGGGAACGTCAGTTGTGACTTCAACGATGCCCGTCACAACTGGATCCGTAACAGTCGTAACATCCTCGCCTGCGTCGGTTGTGAAGGCGGTGACGTCATTTGGGACTGTCGTTGTATCCACAGAATCTGAAGTCAAGAACGAAGTCACACAATGGGCATAAATACATGCTCGTCTACGCTTGACGACAATGATAAAGTCGACGTAACCTGTCGAAAACTTTCTCTCTCTCACTCACTCCAATCACCCACCCATCCATTCACTCAATGTAATTTAGGTTTAAATCAAAGTTACGTACCTGGACAGAGAGTCGATACTAAACCAGATATTGTATTGACAAGGTCATTTGTATTTGGCGAAACGAAAACGAGACTGCTGTCTGCCGTTATAAGGTTGAGTTCCGGTACAGGAATCTGCCCCATGAAGCTGGCACCGACCATCTTGATTCCGGCAGCACGTGCTGTCGTTGCCTCGGCTATGGTCGTGGTCGGATTGGAAGAAATGGCGTTTGTAACGAGGATCACAACTCTGAAACGTAAACAGTCATGGTGAGAACACAGCGGTCTGTGAACAATAATTATTTATCAAGATAGAACGGAGATATAACACACTAACACTTTCGGTTGGACAATAAACAATACAAAATGATGAACAATTATAAAACCGCATCGGCGTCAAGAATAGTTAGTCAAAGCGTCAAGAATTGTTATAATCCTTGGTCCCAATATGTTTTTGGTACCACTTTGGGGGGGGGGGGGGGGGGCAAAGTGTCACATTAATGTGTTGAACATGATTTTATGATTTTTAGTAGTCTCGATGCATAAACAGATTCCAGTGGAGGTCAAATCAAAGCAGTGATGACAAACATTTGAATGGATAACTAAAATGATGGCACCAGGTGTTCGGAAAAGGGACAGCGTGTCCTGCTTACCGATAGCAACCCCGCCACTCACAATTTTCTTTTAAAAAAGTAAGTGTTTGTTGCCTAACGCCTCACCCAACACTACTCCTGCCGTACGTAGAATGCATGTATATAATCGGGTATGAACCAGACAATCCAGTCATGAGTATCATGAGCAGTGACCAAGGCAGTTGTGGTACAACGCCATGTTGTACAATACCCAATGCGGTTAGCAAGGGTAAATGCTTACTTCTGAGCTTGGGGTCTCGCGGCTGTGAACTGTGCGGTGACGTTCTGTATTCCCAAGAAGGTGTTGAGCCCCTGCCACTGAGGGCTGATGCTGCTGATGGCGGTTTGTAACGCCGCGAGGTTGTCGCTAAAGGTGATGAGTTGTCGAACTGTGTTGCTGACCTGTGTGATGCCGACCCGGGTGGCCCCGAGACTGACTGTATTGATGAATGTCGTGAGGAAGGACTGGATACCAGAAGGGAAGACAACGCTGGACCCTTCTATGGCTTTCGTAGCCTCGGAGTCGTCAAGAAGGATGATTATGTCGTTCTGGGAACAACCTGGGACAAAGAAAAACTTGAAATGATTACCGATATACAACGATAGGTTATATAACGGATCCCTCAATAATACTAAAACACCAACCCAACTGCATTATTTTGTCATTTCTTGATTTCAAAATGTAGGCAGCAGTCATTCTTTCCTTTTTCTTAGTTGTTGACAGATTTTAAATATAGGAAGGAAAGGACCGCTTCATTCAAAGTATCAACCCAAGCAGGATATATTTTTTTGTCTTTAAAACTCAAACGACCAAATTCTAATTATTATATATTTGTATCTTTATAAGACCATCTACTCCTTTATTTCGAAAGGAAATATACGTAACCAAGAAATATAAAAGATCTTAATTTCATATGCTGGCAGAGCTGAATTCACACTGGTCTCAACAGACAATAATTTGTATTAAAACTGAACATTTTTCAAGACTAATATCACGAACACATACCACGTGAAGCACCATCTGGGGTTAGCACAGCATTGGTTCAGGGTACAGTGAGTGAGTGAGTATGGTTTTATGGCGCTTTTAGCAATATTCCAGCAACATCACGGCGGGGGACACCAGATATTAGCTTCACACATTGTACCCATGTCAGGAATCGAACCCGGATCTTCGGCGTGATGAGCGAACGCTTTAACCACTAGGCTACCTGACCGCCCCGATTCAGGGTACAGAGTACAACTTATACATGTACTTGAAATGTCTGTGTTTAACATTGTAACGGTACAGCTGTATAATTTCATGAATTCATGGCACTTTTTATGGGTAGCAGCTTCTTGTATTCTTTGAACGACGTTTCAGAGCTACGTCTCGCTGGTTCATCAGGTAAAGCTGTATTATTTTACACATGAACGTTTTCGCATCTGCTGTACCGAATACCATTGCAGTGACAGTGAATAAACAGACTACATACCTGCTGGCGTCGGTTGTGAGGCGGCTATTGCTGAAATAACAATAACAAGTCTATTTAACTATCAGAGTTACGACAATCGTAGGTACGATCGATTTTTGAAACGAGGCCCACGTCTTGAATTGCCAGTTTTTCATCATTGTCCTTAAGTTGAGATCAAGAAAATCAAGTCTATGTTCAACTACGGGAGCTACGACAAGGTATTGAGCCAACATGTTGTGGAGAGAACACTTGGTGATTTTAGTCATCTCAGTTATCGGTACATAGGAAAAGTCCAATCTAGGCATGTTGTTGAACTGTCACTATTCGATTGTCGCAGATGCCAGCCAATCAAAACCCCTGCACCGTTGAAAGTGCTGCTGCACGGGCAACACGTGCAGCTCTATGACACTTTTGTTAATGCACTGGGTGCGTTTTTCTGACTAATCGTTTGCATGTCCTTGTTGTGATCATTTTGATCCGGGCAATTTGTCACTGACACTATAACACATTAAACCTCTTCATTTTGCACCTCTTGGTCCGCTAATTTTGCTTTTTGAAGAGTATATATAAGGCAGCATTTGTTGGGGCAGCGAGCTAGATTCTCCTATGACAATCGTTGTTCACATATGGACGACTAGACAGAACCTTGAATTGATATAAAAAATAATGATATAACAGTAACAATAAATAAAAAGAATGGATAAGAATATACTTACAAGTACAGACAGCTGTGTTTATAGATGCAAAGATAGTACTTAAGTCTGAAGCTGAAGGGGAAACGAAAACGAGGCTAGTGTTCCCTGTAATGGCATTAAGTTCCGGTACGGGGACGTCTCCCAAAAAACTGACACCAAATATTTCTATTCCAGCTGCTCGTGCGGTAGATGCCTCGGCGATTGTCAGTGTTGGGTTTGAGGAAACACCATTGGTCACGATGACGAGAATCCTGAAACGCAGAATGAATTGCGCTTTAACAAAATACACATCACGCACAAAACTTTATCCTGCCATCACATACAAAATGTCACACTTCCATAGAAACACGACACACAGTACAGCCAAATTAGAAGTGGACGCACAACAACGTTGTAACCGAAATACCATGTGAATTGAGTGTTGGAACACTGTTTTGGACCCCAAAGGTCAGGGGGTCGCGCCCCATCTGAAGCACTATGAAATCATGAAATTACCAATTGTGTCACGATACATATCAAATGAAAGCTCTCTTCAGAAGCTCTCCAAAAATGTATAATTTGCCATATATAACCAAACAAAGCATTGAATGTATTTAATTAAATGAATAAAATAAAGCAGAAAAATTAATTAAACTTAACAGAACATTAACTTTTCAATATTTAGAAGTTGAATTTATAAAAAAAGCTCAACACAAAAATACAAGAAGAAAAGATCACTGCAGAGTACTGAATTTTATCGAGGCACTATACATATACAAATTACTTGAAACTAAATTGGACGTTGTTTTTCGTTTACTAATAAAATAAAGGTAAAGCATATTTGAATTTAATTGTGAGAGAGTAAATTTAAATCTACCATAACACAAAACCGTTTCTTATGAATATCATTACAAAATCTAAATATTGCTCTTTATCAAATGTAGAAATTGCTAACCTTAGACTATTCATGGTAATTGTTTTATGTTTTTCCTCAATGTGTACATATATGTGAGATATTGGCATTAAATATTTTTGGGAAAAAAGACATTGAAAAATGGGGGGTGGGGGCTGGTGTGGTGTGGCCTAGTGGTGACAGTGTTCGCCCGTGTGGGCTGAATGCCTGGTTCGATACACCTCATGGGTATGATGTGTGAAGCCCATCTCAAGTGTCCCCGCCGTGATATTGCTGGGATATTACTAAAAGTGACACAAAATTATACCCACTCACACATTAAACCATAATGCATGTCATCGTATCCCAATTGCGTGGATCGATGTTCATGACATCAGTCTCTGGATTGCCTGGTCCAGACTCGATTATGTACAGACCGCCGTCATATAGCCGGAATATTGCAGAGTGCGGCGTAAAACAACAAACAAACAAACAAACAAACAAACATTGAACCATAAGAATAATTAAGAGCAAATCTGAATCCAAGAAACGCACACATACTGTGATACTGTGTAACTGAGTGAAAACTACATTGACGGAATGTTTTAAATGACATACTTGGGTACTCCTGCTCGGGCATCAGTAAACTGACTGACAACATTCTGTATACCCGTGAATGTGTTCAGGGATTGCCACTGAGGGGTGATGCCGTTGATGGCGGCCTGTAACGCGGCAAGGTTGTCGCTGAAGACGATCTGTCGTCGAGCAGAGCTGCTGATGAGGGTTATGCCGACGCGGACGTTGCCGAGACTGACCGTACTGACCACCTGTTGCAGGAAGGTGGCTATCCCAGACGCGTACACTACGCTTGACCCTTCCAGTAACTTGGTAGCCTCGGAATCGTCCACAAGGAAAATGATGTCACCTTGGCCAGAACATTCTAAGGACAGAGAGATGGAAAATTAGTTTGTTTGTTTTGTTGTATAACGCCACACTCAGCAATATTCAAGCTATGTGCGGCGGTCTGTAGATATTCGAGTCTTGAACAGACAGTAATTTACATTATGAGCATCGATCTACACATTTGGGATACGATAACATACATCAACCAAGTCAGCGAGCCTGACCACCCGATCCCGTTAGTCGCATGTTAGGACAAGTAAGGGTTGCTGAAGAACAGTTCTAACCCGGGTTTTGAAAATTAGTTGAAACTAACCTCTCAATACAGTCACCATTTAGGCAACTGTGAGTGAGTGAGTGACTGAGTGAGTGAGTGAGTGAGTGCATTTCGGATACGTTACGTATTGCCATTGTTTTGGAGGAAAGCCCCCAAGTGATGCAGGTCTTAGACATTTACCGGACCTTGATGGACCTATTAGCACGCGCTTGGTACTGACAAACCAGATATCATAATCTGAGATTCAAACCTGCGACGAGCAGATCCTGGCACAACAAAGGGACAGCAAACTGTGCCACCTTGTTCCACAGGGCTTCTTTCGTCCCTCATCACATGAAGAAGGCTTGTATAAAGGTACGAGGCCGTACATCCACAGCTATATCGTACCATATAATCTCAGGAATTAAGTATCAGTTGCCCTTCCGTAAAAGCATTATACGTCATAGCAGACTAAAAGTGCCTAGTCTCAGAAAAATGACGCACCGTTGGCCCACGCCATACCCGTCCACGACACCGTCACAAGCAGAAGGCATATCACGTGACACCATCTCCTAGTGCCTGCTGTGGATGTTTCCATGGTGACTGCACAGCTGAAACATGACATGATTCCATAAGTTAACGTTTTTGGCCATGGACGCCAGGTGTCCCATTCATTCATTCAGTGCTCAAAGATCAAATTCACATTGGGAATATTTCCTAGTCTTGTCGGCATCTCGCTTTTTACCAAGCGTGTGAGAAGTGGGGTAGCCTAATGGTTAAAGCGTTCGCTCGTCACGCCGAAGACCCGGGTTCGATTCCCGACATGGGTACAACGTGTAAAGCCCATTTCTGGTGTCCCCCGCAGTGATGTTGCTTGAATATTGCTAAAAGCGGCGTAAACCAATACTCATTCACCAAGCGTGTAACACATCGTACCAGTACTAGACCCTTCCCTCCAGGCTACAGCCTCGTTCTCTTTGTGCCTCAACTGGAGCAGTTTGTACTCGAAATAATCTATATTTAACCAATAGCAATTTGGTAATGAACTTATTTAGATAGTTTATACAAAAGAATCAACACAACAAACAAAGCAAGCAGAAGTGTGAACGTAAAGGGAATGTCACAAGTATGACGTCACTTCCGGCAAGGTATTCACTGGGGAGCAAATTACGATTATTTAACTTCCATGGCCAGGGAGATACAGCCAAATGGAGATGGTGGATTTGTTGCATAATGCTATTCCTTACTGAATAATGCTATTCTTCTAGGATATTGCTATTCTTCACTGATTTTGGTAGATATCATCAAGTGCACTCATGGTGCCACTATTGTTGTAGTCAGAAATATATACAGTAAGATAAGTGTGGTGGTGTGAGAAGGTCAAGTACAGTGTTTTACAGATTACAGACATAGGAGTATTGGCTATTGACGAAAACTTCAAAACGTAACGCCAAGTATTTGAACATTTTATATTTACATTTTTACATATTAGTTTCGAACATATATACCACTTAAAGGAGGTAACAAAAACACACGATTCTTTCATATGCCATGACAGATTAACTATAGTAATATGAATGAAGCGGGTGTTCCTTAACTTCTTTTGAGAAGCATATTTCATGGACGTCAGTCTTGAACTTACTCCTCTCACAACACAATGGTCGCGCTAAGGGATCAAAGGATCTCCGACAGGGCACAGTAAATACCTTCAATGCATTCACTTCGTTTGTAAAGCAAGTGTAACATGTCACAGGATTGATATAGCCACTGTCATTTATACATAGGCATCCTCACATATTTGGGTTAAAACAAGGGAGTCACCTTTTCACGAACAACTGGTGACATTACTTTTTGATACTGATTCATAAACACATGCTTATGATATAGTCGGAATCGTACAGTAGACTCTGCTTTTTCAAATATTTCTTATGAATATGGAACGAGTTGTGTCGCTTTTATTTAAATACTGACACATTTAAAACCAGAGTGTCTCAAATGTCCCACGTCAGATGAAGCGCACTCTGTTATCCGTAAAATAAAATAATTGACAACTGTTGTGTATAAAACAAGCCCAGTTGTGCTTTTTTAAATTCCTGGTTGGGTAAAAAATAAATAAAAATAGTGTTCCACCCGCATCACATTTGTTTTCAATTAAAAATACAAATATTTTTTTTTTATTAAAGTAAAATGTTTTTGAGAAACACTCTTTTATGCTGTCTTATCGATTGTATCGTGGCTGTGGTGACAAAACGTTCGTGCAGATTGCCTTTTCGGTATGAAAATTATGACATTAATCTTGTTGAATATGAATATGATCCCTGATTTATTGTACATACATGTATGGTTGTCACACTTCCCTCGATAACTGACAAGAAGCGACCAGTCAGATTAATTTATAATGTAAGATTCCACAGTGTCACTTCAAAAGTTGCCAGCAAAAAGTATATAAAAAGTATTTTTATTTTTTTGGAAAACATCAAACATGTTCTTACATTTGCTATGCGATCCAAACTAAAACCGAATTCCACAGAACAGACTCCGTTAGGAAACACTGTAGCTGAAAACCGGAACTCACTTTAGACAAAGTTAATACAGCTATGATCTTGTTCTGGTGTATACATGACATATTGACCTACCTGGTCGATGTTAGATCCAACTCCTTATCCTGGACAGTGGTCAGTTTGTCTGCGCGACCCCACAAGTGGCCCCTAACCTCATGCCCTGCACGTGCCCCGGGCAAGCCACGCAGAGCAATAAAAGTGATGAGATCATTGCGGTGGTCCACTTGCAAGTACCGATAGATAACGGGTATTACGTTCGATCAAGCGATCAATGTTGCGAGTTAATGAAGCTGAAATTTGAATATGATAAGGTGTTAGCTAGATTTGTAAAATTCTATGCCCTCAAGACTATAGGGCCGTAGGTTAAGACCTACCTCAGTGAAGCACTTAATTCCTAGAAGGAAATCTGATTGAGGTGAGGTGAGGTAAAATGGGGTGTTACGTCGCGTCCAATTGTTTGTTTGTTGTTTAACGGCGCAATCAGCAATAGTCCAACTAAATGACGGCGGTCTGTAAATAATCGAGTCTGGCCAAGACAATCCAGTGATTGACATCATGAGCATCGATCCATGCAATTGGGATCCGATGACATGCATCAATCAAGTCAACGAGCCTGACCACCTGATCCTGTTAGTCGCCTCTTACGATCTAACCAACCCAACAAATTCAAACCGATTATTATTTGGAGCATTTTTCAACAAACGTGTTCAACCATCACTCCAACCCTGTTCACGAGTATTGCATGACCAACACGAGACACGAGACAAAACGATAAGGCTCAGAGAGCGGATATTTCTGTTTGTGTCTTGTTTAATGCCACTCAGCTTCATATAGGCATCTTGCTCTATTTACTTTTGGTTTGAGAAAGTTACATGGGGATAAGTAATAGTTGGAAAGATGTCTACATTTCCTTAAAAAGAAACGTTATCTTTGTCAAATGGTATACGTTCATATGAAATACTTAAATAATTATGAAACTATTTTTTAAAACATTCCTACCAGTAAATGATTTCACCAAACATGTTCGTGTTATTTGGCACAATCATAAGAGGGAGCCACGCTGTCCTAGACTGGTTTACCTGCTCTAAAGCGCTTGCGCTCCTCGCCTGCAGCCGCAGGGAGACTAAGGGCAGGGTACAAGTCGAGTTCTATCAACCTATTTCTCCATACAGCATTACGCTTCGGTAAAAGGTTGACCTCTTTCGGTGTAGCGGTTCTGTCTGTCGGGAGGGACGGGGACAGGCCTACAGCATATCACTATGCGGGAAACGTTGATCCAGTTTCCAGTCGACAGGCGCATAGTCGAAGGACACCCCCAAATGAAACTCGCTGTAAAACGAGTAGGCTTTGCGTATATTTCAAGTTACGTACGGTATGCATAAATTCTCAGCTTGCAAAATATCATAACTTTCAGAAGTTTATTTTAATCAAAAAGAAAACATCGCGAGTTAAGAAAGTATCGACCAAATTTATTGAGACACACATACCAGAAACGGCCATTGTTGACTTTTGGCCCTTCACGTTGAGTGACATGCAGTCCGATATTTTCTATATAATTTTATCATTTTTTATATTCGATCATATTTTTTTGTTTGCTGACGAAAGGAAAAACCATCTTAATCGTAACATCATCGATCGGATAGAACTTGTACGATCATGGCAACGGCGTTAATCAAACAATTCCACATGCACAATGATCCCGTAAGACCATAACAATAATTTTGTTACATCTAACTTAATTTTCTAGAATTATTGACACGGATGTATAAATCTTTGTAAAAAATATCTCATTTTTATAGAGTTTGCAAATGATTTCGTTTGATAAACTTTCGGACACATTGACAAGCCGACAAACGTCAGTGATACTCGCGATTTGTTTAGTTAAACAAAGTCAACAAACACTGCAAATAATGACAAATATTGGATGATACGCAAAATCGGAACTGACATACATTCATTGTAAACCATTCAATAGCAAAATAATACAGTTTGCGAAAAATAATTAAAATACTTGCAATTTTAGCTATCATTTCTGAAACCGGAATCACGTACCGCATGACACACATCGAAGCAAAATATACAAGTTGGTAAGCTATTATAAAAGAATTCCGAAAAAGATTCAAATTCAAAAGAAAATACATAATTTACCATTTGTCGTCAACTGATTACTATTTATTGATCTGGAAAGCAGTCTTCACCCCTATTTGTTTCATATTTGTTCGTGATTGCTGCCGGTGCGGAACATCAAATTTGTAAGTCTAAATCCGAAACCAAAACTTCCATACAGTCGATGAAATCCGAATCGATGATTTGAAAATTATTTATTGAAAACGACGGCAGCGGAGAGCCATATAACATATTGATATGCCATAATAATAACATCATAATATTGTTATTGGTCTGTCATTGCAAGAAGGACAATTTAGAATATCAAAGATTGTTTTTTAAAACGTTTACTCCCCCTCCCCAATCTTCAGAACGGATGGAAGTAGGTACACGTCTACTGGATGAATGTAGGGCCTATGTGATTATGTACCCAAGAAAACTGACTATATCTGTATGATCATATTTACTTTTTCATGTTTATTGCAAACATTGAGCTGAACATTATAATAAACATTTCATCAAGTTCATAATATGACGAACCTGAATGTACGTGATCCTTGATTGAACCGTCAGTACACATTGGTACAACTCAAATTGATTAATGGTGATAGGAAAGTAATAAAGTCTTATCACTTGAAGAAGAGGCCAGTAAATTGGTAAACTGTAAGTTAATTGTAGTGTTTTGACAGGAAAGTGATAATAAATTTATTTTTTCATACAAAAAGTAACATGTGTATCTTTGAAACTACAAAACTGTAATACAAAAGTGTTCTGGGTACAAAACCAAAACCTGTTTGGGTACAAACTCTCAAGAAATTGTACGTACAAAAAGCTAATTTCAAATGGATTTCGTGGAACAATGGGATAAAAAAGATTTCTCATCAGTGGAATTCCTTTTCACATTTTAAAACGAGTATTTGTTTACGTAACCAAACTCAAGTAAA